TCGTTCGTAACATTGGATATGTGAGAAACTTTATTTCCTTTTTCTCTCATAAACTGAACTGAAGTCAGAACTGGCTGCCATCTAGAGGTCATTTGAAGAACTGCTCTATTGTTTCATTTGTTCTTCTAATCCTGTTTAACTGAATGTTATGTACCGCACTTCCCCTTGTTCATTTAAATCCCCCTGTGCAATTTATGTTGATTTACATTTGCTTAGTAAAGTAGAAATTGCACATCACCACTGGTCTGATCATTTGACTGATACCGTTACATAACAGTTAGGGATGCACCGATATATCGGCCGCCGAAACATATCGGCCGAAAATTGCACTTTTGGCATAATGCAGAAAGTGCCATTTTCCTGCCGATACATCGGCGCATCCCAGGTTTCTTTCCTCCCCGCAGTCAGTTTCAGGATGACAGCGGCTCTGTGCGTGGCAGAGCGGGGATCGGTAAATATAATTGATATTTACCTATCTTCCGTGTGAGAAGGATAAACACTGGAGCGATCGTCTGATCACTCCAGTGTTTGTAAATAACTGGGGACACATAGTACTATGTGTCCCCAGTTATGAATGAACAGGCTGTGATTTACATCCCAGCCTGTTCATTCAAGATTTCCTCAATGTCCCAGCGGGGAGGAGAGAAACTGTGATAGCCGGCCGGGCGCTGCGGGACGAGAGCGCTGTGAGAGGCAGTCGTCTTCTTCCACACCACTCAGCCTCCTATCACAGTCCGGCAGAGTGGTTTGTGGGCGGACACAGGCCGCGCTCTCACAGGCAGGGCCGGCCTTAGGGGTGTGCAAGCTGCGTGGCCGCACAGGGCGTCGTGGCAACAAGGGCGCCGTGCGGCCGACACAGCTAGTACTGTCATATACCCCCTCACCGCTGGCCATATGACAGTGCTCCCTCGTCCGCCCACCCCCCCACTTCAGGGGGGGTGCAGGAGGGAGCGCTGCCTGCTGTCAGGATGGCGGAGCGGTGAGGGGGAGAGAAGCCGCACCCGCAGCTGTCAGGATGGCCGAGCGGGTAGGAGATCGGAGCCGCTGTCATCCTGTCAGTTTCAGGATGACAGCGGCTCTGTGCGTGGCAGAGCGGGGATCGGTAAATATAATTGATATTTACCTATCTTCCGTGTGAGAAGGATAAACACTGGAGCGATCGTCTGATCACTCCAGTGTTTGTAAATAACTGGGGACACATAGTACTATGTGTCCCCAGTTATGAATGAACAGGCTGTGATTTACATCCCAGCCTGTTCATTCAAGATTTCCTCAATGGGGAGAAGCACTCAGTACAGAGGCTCCTCCCCATTCTGAAACAGCTAAATATTTGAATGGGAAGCCTCGGTACTGAGAGCTTCCCATTCATTGAGTGCTGAGGCTGCTGAAAAAGAAATTGAGGATTTGGTGTCCTCAATTTCTTTTCTATTTTAAAAGGGAAATGTCTGGGGTCTGTTTGGACCCCTAATATTTCCCGAAGCCCTCCCAACAGTAAAGAAAAATAATAATAATAATAAAAAATTAAAACAATTATTTTAAAAAAGTGAAAACAGCCCCCCCCCCACACACACACATACGTATTATTACACATGTGCGAATACTAAAAATTCATTTCATATGAAATGAACGAAAATTTAAAAAGTTTTCATTTGTTTCATCAAACAAAATACATGCATGCATGGCATCATGTAACGTCATGCTCCCTGTCGCCAAGATGGTTGCACACATTCACAGAACACGCCGGTGGCCAATATGGCCGCCACACATTCCCAAACAAATTATTATGCACCTGAATATATTTTTTGTTTATTTGGACATATAGTAATTCATTCATTTTACAAGTACCGTATAAGACGGGTTTTTAGACCCAAAAAACCTGCCCCAAAAATCGGGGGTCGTCTTATACGCCGGGTATACTGTATGTAGCTTTGGCTACATACAGTATACCGCGCTGAGCCAATCACTGCAGGCTTTGTATTAATGAATACAAAGCCTGTATTAATGAATGCAAGGCCTGCCGTGATTGGCTCAGCGCGGTATACTGTATGTAGCTGAAGGAAGATGGAGGACACTGTGGGGACCGTGGACAAGGTAAGAGACTGTAATCCCGAGTGTGGCTCGGGGTTACCACTTATGGTACTGAAAATGAACCCGAGCCACACTCGGGAATACCGCCATGGAGGTAAGTGGGTGCATTTAAACATTATTTTGGGCTCTACTCGTCTCATACGACGAGTATAGCCCAAAACCTATATTTTAACACAAAAAGTAGGGGGTCGTCTTATACGCCGAGTCGTCTTATACGCTGAGTCGTCTTATACGCCGGCAAATACGGTAGTCTAGGTTTTGTGTTCTGTTTTCTATTTTTACTTTCTAGATGCACTTACTTGAAAAAAGGGATCGGCATGACAACCTGACACTTCGTTTTTATAGACTCTATTTTAGTTTGACATTTATTGTTTACCGTCTGTTGTTTTATTTGATAAGAATACTTATAATGTGCCTACAAGTTTAATACCTTTGAATAAAAGTGTTATTTTTATCATACTTTTTAATATGTTTCTTTGCGGCTTAACAAAATAGGAGTCTTTAAATGGTGCGGATATTGGGGGAAAAGGGTGTGGTCACTGAGGGGTGTGGTCACTGATGGACGCTGTAAAGCTTTCTTGCACAGGGCGCCTAAAAGCCTAAGGCTGGCCCTGGTCACAGGAGGCTGAGCTCTCCTCCCTACACTGCTCGATCAGCCTCCTGTGACAGCGTGTCAGAGAGGAGAGCAAAGTACAAACACTCCGCGATCAGTGATTTCTGAGTGCTTGTACATAATTGAGGACATGGTATGCTTACTATATCCTCAATTATGAATGAATGGCAGTGATCTACATCACCTCCTGTTCATTCATAGTTGTAGTTATAGTAAACATATTCTGTTCTCATGTTATGAATGAACAGGAACACTCATAGGAGGATTCCTGTTCATTGATAACAGGGGACACAGAAAAAGAGTTCGAGGCCTCTGTGTTCTCAATCTCTTTTTCTATTTATTATTACCCTGTTTTTTGGTAAAATATAAAAGATCGGGTCACGTCGGGTAAATAGACACTGCATTTCTGGAAACATCAACAGGTATTTTCTGTACTTGCTAAACATGTTCTTAGCTTGAAAAATGAAAACTAATGTAGCTCCCACTTATATGGACTAATAAGCTGCAATATATAACATTTTTGTTGTTGGGTTTAGTTATCCTCTAAGGCCTCATTCACACGAGAAATGGCCGGGACATACAGCTCCGTGCTGTGTGCACGGCCGTATCGGCAGCTCCCGGGGAGGACAGGTGCTGTGTGTGATTAGTATGCAGCCCCTGTCCTTCTCTATGGGAGTATGCAGCTGTACGCCGCCCTACGCTTACCCGCCCTGCACGTCTGTGCCGGTGTGGGTGTCCTGTCTGCGTCCGAGCCGGGACATCCGCACCCGTACGGACCTGCACTTGGGGTGAACGTAGGGTGGCGTACGGCCACGTAGTCCCATAGAGAAGGACAGGGGCTGTGTACTAATTACACGCAGCACCTGTTCTTCCCGGGAGCTGCCCGATAAGGCTGTGCACGCAGCACGGAGCTGTACGTGCCGGCCGTTTCTCGTGTGAATGAGGCCTAACAGTTAAGCCATAAAACAGGCCCTTTACACTTAACTCACTCCCAAAAACAACCTCTAAGCTTAACCCTAAACTAAAACTTCTGATAGGATCTGTATTCTCCTTCAAATCTGACAGTCATTCAAATTTCCTTTGTTAGCATGCTGGACTGTGTGGTTTGACTTTATCCCAGTGGTACCTTTTCCACATGCAACACTTAAAGTGTTAAATCATGATATATGTGACATCACCATTTTTTTTATAACACCGAAAATGGTTACATAGTAGGAAGTAGGAAGAACTAACAAGTGTCTATATCCAATATATTTAGCGGTATAAGATTGTGTACTAACCACAAATAAAGTTATAAACT